CGATGTGGAGCCCGATGTTCTCCACACCGCCGTCTCCCGATGCACCGCCGACGTCGCCGATGCATTGCCGAGGCACCGGCGATGCGGCGATGCATCGGCGATGCGGTTCGGACTCGTTCTGGGGGGCTTCTATGTCGGGACCCACGTGAGGCGTCAAAGACATGGTGTCGCATTTTAGGATCGAAGGAGTTGCCATCTCTTTATTTGTGGAAAGCGGCGGCAAGCATGCGGAATGAAAACGAGGCCGCCTCCGCCGGCGGAGTCCGGCGGAAGGCCGGCGAAAGGCGGCGGAAATACAAATCTGCGCCCCAAGAGATGGCACGGTTTTCGGGTTAAGGATTTCTGGAACCCGCCGCGTAATGGGGTTCAGCGCTAACGGGGGTCAGCTAGAGCTCGGGATCGTGCAGGATCGTGCGAGTCACAAATTGGCTGAGCTGGGTTTTGGAAACCCTTCGACCCCGCGAAGAGAAATGCGGCGCAGTTTTTCCTACATTGGCCGAGCCGGGTTTGCTTTGAGCCAGGTGTGTCCGCGCCCGACATTAAGCAGAATGCGTAGGGAAGCGGACTGCCCCGCAGGTTCCCCGCGGGCACGTCTCGGCCCCCTCGATGGCCCCAGGGGCCCACAGCAGCTCTGGGGCATTTCAGGGCCCCTCGAAGAGATCTCGGCCACGCGCAGAAGGGGCTAGGGGGAGGGGGGAAGGCTTCTTAGAAGCACTCCTATTTCTTAGAAGGCGCGGGCCTTCTGTAGATGTAGAGCCGGCGCCTTCTAAGAAGAAGCCTCCTTCTAAAATGCCTTCCCTGCTCTCTCTACCCTTGTGTGGGCGCCGCCAAAGATCGACACACAATATGCCCCAAGATTTCGTAAAGCAAGACTTTTTCCCGTGTGTGCCTCATGTCGCCGGCATCTCTGTTCTGAGCCGCTCGAGGCGAACAGTTCTTCTGCCCCAACGCCTTGCTTTGGGGCATAAGGACTGATATGGCTGCTGATGTTCCCTCCCTCCCTCCCAACCTCCCTTTCCGCCGCAGCTGGACTTGACACGGCAGCGTTTTCGGTCCCAACTGCGGCGACGCAAGGGGCATGACGATGACGACGACGAAGACGACGACGACGACGACGACGATGACGACGAGGAAGTCGAGGGCGAGGACGAAGACGACGGCGATGACGTCGTTTTTTGTTGGATTTTGGCGCTTCCAGAAAGGTCGGCCGGCCTGGGGACCGTCAGAGATGATGTTCTTCCTCCTCCTCCTCCTCCTCCTCCTCCTCCTCCTCCTCCTCCTCCTCCTCTTTCTCCTCCTCCTCCTCCTCCTCCTCCTCCTCCTCCTCCTCCCCCTCCTCCTCCCCCTCCTCTTCCTCCTCCTCCTCTTCCTCGTCATCCTGCTACTCATCCTCCTCGTGCTCGTCCTCGCGGGCCTTGTCGTCATCCTCCCCATTATTTTGCTGCTGTTTCCTTCCTCCTCGTCGTCGTCATCTTCTTCCTCCTTCTCCTCCTCCTTCTCTTCCTCCTCCTCCTTTTTTCCTTCTGGGAGCCGGTTGTCCCATCGGGTGGGATGAAGGGTCTCGCAAAAATGCTAGCCGATCCCCCCATCCGTCAGGCTAGAAGGCTTGGGGGGCACCCAAACAGACCAGCGGATACCCTATCTAGTGGGATAAAGAGGTGTGAGGTGCGCTCAAGTGGAACAATGATTCTATAGGCTGACGCCACATCCGCCGACCCCTTTTTTTTGCCGCGTGGTCGTTATCACGGCTTCTTTGCAAGCTGCGGGAAAGATTCAGGTGGTGACCTTGAACTGTGTTCGGGTGCTGTTGGGCGGGCCGTCGCGCATGGGCGCCGTTTGGGGGGCCCTGTCGCGGGGGGTATCAGGCATGCACGGGGTGTTTGGGGGTTCTCTCCGAGGGTTCCGTGGTCGTCCTTGGGGCTTTTCGGGTGGTGGAGTCGGGGCAGTACGTTGCACGCCGGTGACATCTCAAGGGTGTCGGCGGGTGCCGTCCGGGAGTACTGTGGATTATCATGGTCGGAGTCTTTCGGGTAGTGTGTTGCCAGGTGACGAGGATGGTCCTGCTGACACGACGGCGACCATGACGACGATGGTGATGCTGCTGATGATGACGATGATGACGACGTTAATGACAATTGCGACGACGATGAGGAAGATGATGGTGATGATGATGGTGGTGGTGATGATGATGATGGGGAGGATGAAGATGAGGGTGAGGATGAGGATGAGGATGACGAGGAAGAGAAAGAGGAGGAGGGAGGAGGAGGAGGAGGAGGAGGAGGAGGAGGAAGAGCAGCAGGATGAGGAGGAGGAGGGGGGAGGGAGGGGGAGGAGGAAGAGGAGGAGGAGGAGGAACGATGATGAGGTGGAGGAGGAGGAGGGGGAGGAGGGATGAGCAGGAGGCAAAGATTGACAGTATGGGCCACGGGCCCCCGCGACAGGTTTTGTCGCGTTGTCGGGGGCATTCGTTGCCTTGGCTGGACGCGGCTCGAGTGTGTCTTGTGATGTGAGGCGGCGCTTGGCCCGTTCTCATTGATCAAGGCACAGGCGCGAAATTGTTGGTCAACCATTTCGTTCCTTCTGCGACAGGGTTTCCCGTTCCGTTTTGGGCACGGTCCGTTTTGGGGGTCGGCGGTGCGGGGAGCGCTGTCTCACGTCTCGCATGCGGTGAGCGCGCTGATCTCTTTCAGCAAGCGGTGTCCCAGAGCTGATGGGACAAAGGGGGGGCAGGAGTCTGGCTTGGGCCACATTCATGTCAGTGTCAGACACGAGTGGAAAGCAATTGGAGAAGTGCTTGACGCGTCCCGTGCCCCAACCAGCTCATCTAGAAACGATGCCCGTACGAGTTGGCGCGATCAGGCAAGTGCGGGAGCAAGGAGGGGCAGCCGTTATCATTCGAAGCGAGAAGGTGATGGAGGAGGGAGAAAAGAGAGGGAAGGGGAGAAGGCACGCACAGAGGAGGTTGGCGAACAGAAAAGCCAGTGGTTTACTGGATGCATGGAGGTTCTTGGGACATCTCTTGAGGGCTTTCGGGGAGCCTACTCAGGCATCTTGGCGACTTCTCCGCGGTTCAGGTGACATTTTGAGCCGCTTGGCAGCTCGGGGGGACCCTTTCGGGCCCCTTTGTTGCCTCTTGGTAGCTTCTTTGGTGCGTTTTCGGCGCCTCTTGAGGTTTGTTTTGCAATGTTTCTGGGGGTCGCGTTGGCCCTCTTGGGGCGATCATGTACGACATTGAGCGAGGAGGGGGAGCTGCAACCAGGGCTGCCCGTCGATAGCCTACGCATCGCCTTCTAGGGGCGCTCTTGCGCCTGGTTTGGGGCCACCTGAGCCCCTCTTCGGTTCCCCCTGGGTGCTCTTCAGGCTATCTTGAGGCTTCGACGACCATTGGCAAGGGGGAGATGGTTACGCCAAAAGTGAGCGTGACGGCTAGCGGGCGGGCAGGGGTCAAGCTATCCATTCCGCCTGCTGGCCGTCTCCCTCACTCCCACCCGCCATCCTGTCTCAGAAGGTCAGCACAGTAGCATGTCTACGAGCCGTTCCAGACGACGATGATGACGAGGATGCTCATGATGATGATGCGTATGACGGTGATGATGATGCTGATGATGCTGGCGATGATGGTGATCATGAGCAGGACGATGAGGATGGATGAAGTGGGGAGACGATGACGAGGAGTTCGCGGATGATGGTGATGATGATGATGCTGATGACGGCAGTGGCGGTGATAACGGTGATGATGATCACGACGATGATCATGGTGATGAGGAGGTGACTGGGGGAGGAGTCGCAAGATGATGGATCAGAGATGATCGATCAGTATGATGAGTAGGTTGCGGCAGTGAACAGACGGAGTAAAGGGCTCTCGACTACTCTCTGGGGGTCTCTGCGGCCACTTGGACGCATACTGGCAGCCATCTTCAGTCGCCAGGCGCCGTCCAGAAGTCGAAAAGGTGCCAGACTGTTGTCGCCGGTGCCGAACTTTGCGCGGCAGTTTCGAGCTCCCATGAGAGCCAGGTGCCGTCGCCACGTGCCCCAGTACCCATGAGAGACGGGCTTCGCAGCGTGTAAGCGGCGGCGACATGTGGTGGCTTTGATTCGGCCCAGACCGCCACCGTGCTCTCTTCGGGTCTTTGTGGTCTTTGAGAGTCTGCAGGGCTGCTCAAAAAGATGGCTCTGGCGCGGAGTAGTCCTTGGTCTCACTCCAGGGGCCCCAGCTCGGCTGAAGCCAAAAGGTGTCACGGGGGCCCCAAGAAGGGTTCCAGAGGACTGCACTTGGCCCCCCAAAGCGGCCCAGGGGGTCCAAGAGATTTCCAGGGGAGGGGGGCCCACTTTAATCCAGCTGCCTGCGGCAAATCCCGCCACCGTGGCAGTCCACCAGGCTCGGTGGCGATTGTTCGAGAGGGTACCGGAAGCATCTTGGATGTTCGTTGGGATATCGTGGGAGGACTCCCGGGAGCTCATTGGAGGCAGCTTTGCGGCCTCATTGGGGCTGTTTGGGGGTTGTTGGGGGCCTCTCGGGGCCCCCTTGGGGCTTCTCGGACGCCTCTTGGGGCCTCCTGGGGGGCTCTTCGGGCAGAAGGATCGAATTGTCGGTGTATGTTCCCCCTCTTGGGCCTCTCTTGGGCCTGTCTGGGGGCAATGTTGCGTGTCATGGGCGCCTGTGAGGCTCTTCTGAGGCCCTCCTGGGACGTCTAGAGACCCTCTCGGAAGCCTCTCGGGCCATCGTGGGGCGCTCTTGGGGGCCCCTGGAGCTGTCTTGGAGTGTCGGAACTCGAAAAGGCGACAACGTGATAAACATTGACAAACATAATGAAAATCATGTGTTTTTGTCTCTTGGGCCCTCTTGGGGATTTCTTGGGGGTCCTCTTGGAGCGCCGTT